GCCTTACAATACAAATAACGGGGGAGAGAAGGCAAGCAAAATGCGAGGGAGATAGTGAAAGATCCAGGAAATTGAACGTAGATTTCCAAAGAATAGCAAGGAGAGACAAGAGGGCCTTCTTAAATGAGCAATGCAAAGAAATAGAGGAAAACAATAGAATGGGGAAAACCAGAGATCTGTTCAAGAAAATTGGAGATATGAAAGGAACATTTCGTACAAAGATTACCATAATAAAGGACAAAAGTGGTAAGGACCTAACAGAAGCAGAAGACATCAAGAAGAAGTGACAAGAATACACAGAGGAATTATACCAGAAAGATGTGGATGTCTCCTACACCCCAGGTAGTGTGATTGCTGACCCTGAGCCAGACAGAGAGTGAAGTCAAATGGGCCTTAGAAAGGACTGCTAATAACAAGGCCAGTGGAAGTGATGATATTCCATCTGAACTATTTAAAATTTTAAAAGATGATGCTGTTAAGGTGCTACACTCAATATGCCAGCAAGTTTGGAAAACTCAGCAGTGGCCAGAGGATTGGAGAAGATCCCAATCCTTAAGAAGGGCAGTGCCAAAGAATGCTCCAACTACCGCACAATTGCACTCATTTCACATGCTAGCAAGGCTATGCTTAAAATTCTACAAGGCAGGCTTAAGCAGTATGTGGACCGAGAACTCCCAGAAGTGCAAGCTGGATTTCAAAGCGGCAGAAGAACCAAATTTCAAAGCGGTAGAGACCAAATTGCAAACATGCGCTGGATTATGGAGAAAGCTAGAGAGTTTCAGAAAAACATCTACTTCTGCTTCATTGAATACGCAAAAGCATTTGACGGTGTCGACCACAGCAAACTAAGGCAAGTTCTTAAAGAATTTGGAGGGCCTGATCTGTCTCCTGAGAAATCTCTATGTGGGACAAGAAGCTACAGTTAGAACTGGATATGGAACAACTGATTGGTTCAAAACTGGGAAAGGAGTACGACAAGGCTGTATATTGTCTCCCTGCTTATTTAACTTATATGCAGAATTCATCATGCGAAAGGCTGGGCTGGATGAATCCCAAGCCGGAATTAAGATTGCCGGAAGAAATATGAACAACCTCAGATATGCAGATGACACAACCTTGATGGCAGAAAGTGAGGAAGAATTAAAGAACCTTTTAATGAGGTTGAAAGAGGAAAGCGCAAAATATGGACTGAAGCTCAACATCAAAAAAACTAAGCTCATGGCCACTGGTCCCATCACCTCCTGGCAAATAGAAGTGGAAGAAATGGAGGCCGTGAAAGATTTTACTTTCTTGGGCTCCATGATCACTGCAGATGGTGACAGCAGTCACGAAATTAAAAGACGCCTGCTTCTTGGGAGAAAAGCAATGACAAACCTAGACAGCATCTTAAAAAGCAGTGACATCACCTTGCCAACAAAGGTCCGTATAGTTAAAGCTATGGTTTTCCCAGTAGTGATGTATGGAAGTGAGAGCTGGACCATAAAGAAGGCTGATCACCGAAGAATTGATGCTTTTGAATTATGGTGCTGGAGGAGACTCTTGAGAGTCCCATGGACTGCAAGAAGATGAAACCTATCCATTCTTAAGGAAATCAGCCCTGAGTGCTCACTGGAAGGACAGATCCTGAAGCTGAGGCTCCAATACTTTGGCCACCTCATGAGAAGAGAAGACTCCCTGGAAAAGACCCTGATGTTGGGAAAGATTGAGGGCACAAGGAGAAGAGGACGACAGAGGATGAGATGGTTGGACAGTGTTCTCGAAGCTACAAACATGAGTCTGACCAAACTGCGGGAGGCAGTGGAAGACAGGAGTGCCTAGTGTGCTCTGGTCTGTGGGGTCACGAAGAGTCAGACACGACTAAACAACAACAAAGTTATCTAAATTGCATGGTTGCCTCTCAAGGCTCATTCACCCTTTATTTTTAGAGAGAACTGGAGTGCAAAAGCTACTCTAGTTTAAATAACAAACTATGACATAACTTGGCCTGTGGGGGAATGTTCTTCCCAATAAGTTCCTCATTCTATCTACATAAATGTGAACATAGAAATTGTGTGCACTTCTAATTTTAAAGAGGTGCTAAAACAGGCTGGGCACATAGCTTAGTCAGCTGTTATAAAAAAGGGAAAAATATTTGGGTCAATTAAAAAAGATGTATGTCTGCAAATGATGCAGTGCACAAAAAGACCTATCAGCATATGTAAATTACGCAGCCAGGAATCAAACCCATACATTTAATTCAGTGTCCCATATTGACTTTGGAAATGTAAACCCAGTTTGGTATATGTAGAATGAAAGCTATTAATGCAATCTACAGAAGTCATTAATGCTTACCTTTACTTTGTGCACTGTTGTGTGTGTGTTTACAACCTATTTTTTCCAACCACCTACTTCCCCTTTCACTGGAGTTTCAAAACCCTTGTGTGAAAGCCATTAGCCCTATAAATTTATCACGGTACTATGTGCTATGTTTCTAGGGCCTTAGGGGCATTCATTCAGTTTCTCTTGTCCTTCTTCTGAAAGGAGAGTGCTATGGTTTAGATCCTAACTTCTTTTCTGCAAATAGAGCAGAAGTCATGGAACAAAATGGAGCTTTGCTGCCTCCTTCCCTTTTGTATCCTATTCCTCCCACAGAAATATCTGCTCTTGGGAATTGTGAGGGGGAAGTCTTCACAATGCTGTGGGGTGTGGTGGAGGAGTGCAGGGGGAAGTTGGCAGATATTGCTCTGTTCTTCACAAAAATGAAGGAACATCTGAAAGATTCAAGTCTATTTCTGTATGCCTTATATCATAGTCACTGTGGTATTTTATAGTATTTTATAGTATTCGTTGACTGTATGAGAACTGCCTTTTATATCTTAAATTGTATTTTGTTTTAATTTTGTACATTGGTATGGTACTGCTAAAAGCTTACTGGTCTATAACTGTTCCAGTAATGATAAAACAAAATATGAATAAATAATTGTGTTGGAGGGCAGGAGTCATGTGTGGACTAGCGCATCCACTAAGTTTATCAAAACAGCCATGAAATTGTAAACTCCTGAATAACGTGTTTTAAAATAATAATAATGAAGCAGAATTCCTTTTAACACTGAAGAGTTGTGCACTAGGATTGTCATGTTGTTGTGCTGTTGTTTTCTCTTCAGATTTCTGTTATTGTTAAACAACTTGTTTTGGGCCCTTGGCAGGAACTAAAACTCTTTTTGATCACAACAAGCAGAACGAACAGCTTTGATGTTTAATCATATTGCACTACCAAGCATGACAGTATCTGGAGTCTGCTCAAGCCTGGTTGGTCCCCAAAACACAGTTAATTTAGTGAGTTGACTCGAGGGAGCCAGGGCATCATCACTTTCAGGTTTTTAGGGTCACAGAAGTTCAGAGTTTGTCAGCTGAAAACTGCTTGTGTTAGACATAATTCTGGTTCCTGTGTCAGATATTTTTAAAACTTTTGCTAACTTAAAGCTCAAATCCCTTCTAAAAATGAGTGCTGCAGCTTTTGTTGAGATGTTTCACTTCAGACTGGAAGAATGTATTTGTTAACATAGTGAATTTAAGGACTGGTTACCATATTTCAGAAGAATGAATGAAACCATGCCCCACCCAATACAGTCGCTGGCAAAATTAAAAACCTCTGTAGCTTGGTGAGCTTCTTTTTTGATGCAGGATCTCCATAGATTATTATTTTTCTGTTGGATGGGCTGTCTTGTTTCTTTCTTGTTCAAAGGTTCTTCAAGAAACATAGCAGATACTGTATCTGACTTGAAGATCAATCAGTTAACGATTCCTGAGCTTAAGTACAGTATTTGTCAATAGAATCTCTGTGTGGTTACAGGTCTTTCTTAAAAACTGGTCTTGGAAACTGGTCTTTCTTAGAAACTGGTTTTTCAATATTCCAGTATTGAACTAGTGTTTGTTGGGTGGTTTGTTGGAGTCCATAAATCCACTCCCTTGTGGCATTTCAGCAGTCAATGGAACTACTATTGAATAAGCAGTTTTACTGTAGGGTGCATTTTTCTGCAAATAGGGGTTTGTTTGTTTTTTAAAAATCAACCATTAATGAATTAATTTCCTTCCTTTCAGGAATAGACTTGATCATTTGAGCTGGATCATTGTGGACTGGCAGGCAATGAAAACACCAGCCCAATGTGATGAGACAGAAAGAATTGATTTAAGTGCCTGAACATTTTCCTGGCTTTTCTTCTTCCCTCATCATTCAGAGTTAGAGCAATGGCTGTCTTGACATCATCAGGTAATCAGATGATGATGGTGATGATGATGATGATGATTTAAATTTGTATACCACCCACCAGCCAAAGATCACCAGGCCATTCACAACATAAAAGTACAAAATGAGAACACAAAATGCACAATGAAACAAAAACAAACCAATAATCCCCCCTCCCAAACATATTTTAAAAAGCCATAGATTGTTTAATCAGCCAAAGGCCTAGTTCTGAGAAACATTTTCACCTAAAGATAAGTAACAAAGGTAAAGAGGAAAGCTGTAGTGGTGCTGAACTACACAGAACAGAATGTAGTGCATGTTTTAAGATACAGAAATGGCTGCATCTTACCTCAGCCACTCTTGCTGGCTTCCAACAAAGTATTAAAATACAAAAAACCTCAAACATTAAAAACCTCCCCATACAGGACTGCCTTCCAATGTCTTTTAAAATTCAGATAGTTGTTTATTTCCTTGACATCTGAGGGAAAGGCGTTCCACAAGGCAGGTGCCACTACTGAAAATGCCATCTGCCTGGTTCCCTGCAACCTCACATCTCGCAATGAGGGAACCTCCAGAAGGCTCTTGGAGCTGAAACATTTCTAGGGGAATTTTTTTTTATGATTATACAGTAGACTATGCCACAGTATGCTATGCAGAGTAGGCACAATTTGGAAGCAGCAAAGGGAAGATGGAGGGAGAGATCGGATGAACAATGTTGGGGATATTCATGTTGAATGGTCAGAGATATGAAGAACATAAAGTAAATATATCCTTAGATGGCTCAGTCAGTAGAGCATGAGACTCTTAATCTCAGGATCATGGGTTTAAGCAAAAAGATTCCTGCATTGCATGCAGAATGACCCCCTAGATTACCACCATAGTCCCTTAAAATACTATGATTCTATGTTTATAGTTTTGCTCTAGGAGTTGGGGGGGGGGGCTTCCTTTTTCATTCAGACACTTACAAAGACACTTTATGCAGGTATCATACCATGAGGGGAGCAGCTAACAACAAAGTGTCATGAGGCCATTGGATAATTTTGGCAATAACAGGGAATAGAACGTTCTTGCATAAGGAGAGAAAGAGGGGTTATAAAAAGGGGAGAGAAAAATTGGAAGGTAAGTGAATAAGAACATTGGACACAATGAGCTGCAGATGCAGACAAGGTTTTAAAGAAGAACTCACTGGATGTTCCTTAGGGAGTTTGCAGGATGGTCTGTCTGTTCCTTTGGTGAAGCCTTGCCTTGGGCTAACTGGAAAAGATCCAGGACTTCCTTTGCTGAAGGCATACCTACAGTTGCAGTGAGCCATCTTTGAATAGTAATTAGATCCCCTGTTGTAGTTGAAGCCTTGTGGAATTTGTTTTTAGTTGTTCTAAGGAAGCCTCGTGGGAATTTGCTTTCTTTTTTCTTACTATATAAAAAAGGTTTGAGACTGTTGTCATGCTGCGGTTTCACATGGCCACTGATAGGTGAGCTGCATCATGACAATAGAACAGCAGGCATGTGACTCAGAGACGTGAGCAAGTGGTCCAGGTGAGCTTCAGAGGAACAGCCAGGATAGGCCAAGGCAGCTCAGTGGCAACCACCCTGCTCTGCTGTTGCTGTGCACCTCATATGTCCTTGAACTCTGATAATGCCTTTTGCTTGTCTGGATGGAGACTAGAGAGGGGCGTGTATATGTAAAAAGTAGCCTTCTTTACAAAGGGGCAATTTACATGGAAAGCTCTGCCCACTTTTGGTTCTGGCCCTGCCCATCACTAGCCCTAGGAAGGATGACCAGAAGGGCTCAGAAAAGTCCCCCTGATTTAGAGAATGGGAAAAGCATGAGCAATCACCGTTACCTTTTCTTGGAAAAGCACATGCTAGCCATGAAGGAATAATAGATGCAGGGGCAGCAGCAAAATTGACCATCTTAGGAAGTATGAGATGAGACTCAATAATCAATAAAAAGTCTGTTCCTGGGGAGATATAGTGCCCCTGATGCTGGGCTGTTCTCAGAGTGCACAGCAGTACTGCCTTCTCCCCAATCTCAAGAGTTGGCATAGAATTGTAATGGATACCAGGGAAAGTGGCTTTAAGAGGCAAGCTGGCTGATGCCATATAGAAGATGTCTTCCAATTCTACCAGTGCCCTTTGAGAAATATCTTTTTCCCATTTTGTCCATGTTGTCCTTGTAGCTTTGTCCTGCAGCTCTCCAGTGGTTTGACTTTACCCCCCGATGGCACACTCTTCCATTGTCTCTTTGAGACAGAGGGATGCCAACCACCTGCGCTCCTTATGCTAGCATACAGGGCTTGTGCCATTTCTGTAGCTCACACAGAGTTTGAGAGGTCATGATGTCAAACCCAAGCCCTCCTGCTAATGCTCCACACATGGGAGATTTATGCCCATCCTTGATGGCTGACCTCTTGCTAGTAGAAGCAGCAGGAGATGGGTTTGCTGCACAGCTAGAACCTAAGGAAGCCTATTTAAGACAATGAGCACACACGCATATTAAGAAGACTTAATGTGAGCTGTCTTAACTTATTAACAAGAGATTGATAATATCTGACAAATGACGGAAGATAAATTGTTAAGCAAAATGCAAATATGCCAGGAGCAGAAATGGAAAATTACAATAAAAGCTTTTATGACTGCAGGAAAATCCAAAGCTAATTTGTCCATTCAACTAAATCTTCATTCCTACTGTTGGCTTTGTCAGAATGCTACATCAGTTAGCGTTCTAATTAGATCACCACAGAGAGGGGTACATTGTAGATAGATATTATTTCTGATAGGAGAAAGCGATTGTGTGCAGGTTGGAAACTCAGCTTTAACTTGAGGGCACAGATTTAGACTTTTATTCCCACTGCATACAAGTGCCCTTATTAATATTAATATGAAGAAATTCCTCAATGCTAACACAATACCCAGAATTATCTTCAATTTGTTTATCATACAAGCTACCTCTGGCCACATCAAAATTTTATCCTTTGAAAGTTTGGCTTGTACCCAAGACACTAAACACTAAGTATGTACGAGGATTTCCACTTGCACAATGGGACTTCCTGCCTTCACACACCCACTGTATGCTCTCTAAATCTGTTCTGAGAGCAGTTTGGGGGACAGTGTGGGACAAGGAGAGGGAGAAAAGTCCATGATAAAAATGGAAATCTGTGCACCCATCATATGGGGGAATTAGACCCTCTAATACAAATATTTCTGCCCCTCTGTATTGTGCCAACCAGGGATGAGCAACTTCCCCCAGACTCAAATTGGATTGGCTCAGAAAACAAGATAAGATACCTCCTTCCTCCCCCCCTCCCCCAACATATGGCAAATGGCATATTTTAGGAGCCCATTAGAACTTACCAACAAAGTCCTTCATCCTGCAAGTGATCTCTTCCCCGTCTCTTGAAACCCTGTGTACCCAGCTGATCTAATGACAGTGGGGGAAACAGAGGCATTTAGAGTTCTCCAAGAGGAGATGAAAGGAAGATACACAATAAGCCTTGTTTTTTTGTTTATGGTTTTTAAGGAGAAGGGAGGAATGAACACAGAGCAGCAAAGCCCCAGCAAAGTGATTCTGGATTAATTATCCCCAACTGAAAATTGAGCCGGTTAATGCACAAGACCTATCTACCAGGGAAGAATGGCAGATGAAGCTGATGGACTACATGGAATTGGCGGAAATGACTGGCAGAATCCGAGACCAGGGAGAAGAGTCGGTGGAAGAAGATTGGAAAAAATTCAAAGCTTATTTACAGAAATATTCTAAAATTAATGAATGTTAGAAGGATGCTGGAAAGAAGTTATATGTCTTTAGTAGAAATATTATAAAGAATTAAGTATGAATAGATTGACATTGGGTAAAGATGTAAATTTAAGTCTAAAATTGCGTTAAGTTAAATTATGGAACTAAATTTGTGAAAGAGGGAAAGGACTTGCTGGAATAATTAACTGAACTAGAATACAAAAAAGGAGGTGTGAGGAAGTCGAGGAAATAAGCAAATGAAAGATAAGGATATGAAAATATGGGGTTCTTTTGTATGTTTGTTTGTTCTCTTTTGGGGTTTTTTTTTAAATGCTTTTGTTTTGTTTTCTTTTTTGTATTGTTGATGTTTTGTATTACTGTATTTATTTTTGTTTTTGAGGCTTTGTAATTGTTTATTGCTTATATCTTTCTTTTTGTTGTTGTTGTTGTTGTTTTGTAATGTCTAAACTTTAATAAATATTTTATAAAAAAGAAAAAAGAAAATTGAGCCGGTTAATGATTTGTGGGTTATTCAAATCTTTATTTATACTTAATATTTGAAATCTGTTGCACTGACCAGGCTATTCTACAAAATAGTTTGCTTCAAGAGGCAGCCTTAATGCACGTTAGAAAGAATGCTTCACTAAAGTTGGTTCTGGAAAAATAAGTTTACTTAAGCAATGTTGATGTGCAGTCAGCATGTCTCTTAATAAACCTAGGGATATGTGAAAAGTACCAGGATAAGTGGCAGATTGACACTTATCACTGCATACATCTAGTGGCGTGCTAATAATGTGAGAAAACACTCAATCTCATTTCAGTGCAGCAAGCAATTTTTCTTTTCTTTTCTTTTTTGTTGTTTTCAAGCTAAACTATTATGTCTCAAACTAAGCAAAACACCCCAATTTGTAGAAGCAACGAAACTCATTGGAGGGAGAGTGGAAGTGGCCCCTGTGACATAATGTTTAGAGTGTTGAAGTAGGACTGGAGAGAACCAAGTTCCAACCTTCACTCGGTCATGAATTTCACCTTGGAATAGTCATTTTTTTCATCCTAACCTACCTCACAGAGTTGTTTTAAGGATAAAATGGGGGAGTGGGGGGGAAGAAAAGACCGTGTATGCTGCCCTAAATTTTTAAAAGTCCAAAAATGTTGGGAAACTGCTTAAGACGCATATACTAATAGAAAAGAGAAGCAGCTATTCTTGGTTCTCCCCTTTCCCTCCCGCCTTTTTTTTCTGGGGAGGGATTATTTTAATCCCTTGTTAAGTATTTATATAATTTTCAAAAACAGGGCAGTCTGAGGCAAAGGCAGGAGGGAGAACGGATATAGATATGGGAACGTGCTGTAAAAGGGTATTCTTGTTCTCGCTATGTTGTTGGAAAATCATTTGGAAGCCTCAATAAAACATAAACTAGGCAATTACGAACAAAGAAGGAAACCTCACGGCTGATACAAAAAGCAGTAGCTTTGGAGTTTAGCATTCCCCTAATGTGATGCACAGCAGGCACATCGACTGGCCTCTTATACTTTTTGCCTGTTGCTGGGGGGAGAACCTGGGGGCAGAGGAGATGCCATTCCATCTCTTTGCCCACCTTGCTCCTGGTTGTCCTACAACCCTGAAGTGCTCTTGCTGCCTCTGGAGGAGGAGGAGGAGGAGGAGGAGAGTGGAAATAGCTGTAGCTAAGAAATTTGCACCCCAGCCCACAGACTAGGAAGTGGTGTGACTGAAGTCACCACAAGGGCACTACCCATCTTAAATTTGTACTGCTGAATGTATTAGCCAGTGGGAGAAAGTGTGTGGTGCATTATTGGGTAGTAACTGGAATTGTGTTTTTGACTGCCCAGAGTGAGAGTCTGGGTTGTACTGTTTTCATGACTTTCAAAGTCTTTTGAATATCACTCTGTGTGAGAGGGCTGGGGTAGCTCAGTTGGTAGAGCATGAGGCTCTTAATCTCAGAGTCGTGGGTTCAAGCCCTACATCGGGCAAAAGATTCCTACATCACAGGGGGTTGAACTACATGAACCTTGTCTGAATGGGAGATGGGAAGGGAGCGGTTGTGTTGCCGTTTTCCCTTAAATGGAGGCGGGAGGATGTGCGGGTTGCAAATTATGCCAGGTATTTTTGGAAAACCAGACGTCCCCTTTGTGACAAATGGCTGGCTGCAGATTAGCTGTGCTGTCTGTCTGGTTGGAGGGAATACTTGAGAGTGAGGCTCATGTGTGGGAAATTGCAAAGGATGTGTTTGGGAGAAGTTATTCTGGGGGAGAGGGAAGTATGGATGCAGCTTCTATTTTAGTTGTTTTATTTAGCTGTTAAAGATGCTGTTTTGTGGTATTTTGGGATCTGCAATGTTTAAGGGAACATTTTGTTTTCCTGTTAATTATGCTGCTTTAAATGTGTGTTTTGTATTTGACCTTCACCTGTCATCTTTTTCTTTCTTTCTTTTTGATATTTTGTAGTGTTCTGTTCCATGCTTTAGGTTGTAAACCACTTTGAGGGGTTTAAAAGAATGTCTATAAAGCAGTATGGCAATGATTTAAGTCAATAAATCAATCTTGCTTGACATGATGACACTCTTTCCCTTTCCCTGCACCACAGGGATGTGGAGATGCTCTACACCAGCCTTTCCCAACCTGGTGCTTTCCAGATGTTTTGGGCCATAGTTTGCATCATCCCTGACCATGCTGGCTAGACCTCATGAGAGTCATTGTGCACAACATAAGGAGGTTAAGGAAGACACTTCTCCCAAGAGGTTAGGGGTGTGGAGCAGAGAATTCCACATGGACTTGCTGCTTTTGGTAGCAACAGTGCATTTTCACAATGTCTACTTCAAGGGTTGAGGACCTCTGGCTGGCGGCTTAATTAGGCCCACCAGGCCATATCAGCCAAGACACACCCACTGCCCTGCACTTGACTTGTGTGGGGCTGGTAAAGACCTGGCTCAGCCAAAAGGGCACCACAGACCAGCTGGTCTACTGGACCTAACCAATTCCCCATGCATAATCTGACTCCACAAAGTAGTATTGTTCCAGCATTGGAGCAAGAACACAACTGGCTACTCTATACTAGTAGTAAGGCCTGAGCCTTGGTGTGTCAGCATCTGTTGGTAGAAATGTACAAAATGCTTCCATGTGTTGCTGTGTGGTGAGAAGGTCAAAAAATTCTAGTATGGAGTGGCTCGCACGTGAAACACTATGAGTCATTAAATCCACATTGTGGTCCCTCTGATGCTTTCATTTTCTGATCCACTCGGCTGCTTTTAAGGATTTAGATGGCAAAAGATAACCACTGGACATCTCTTTCTTCTCAAGAAGCACAAGGTACTGTTAGCATTCCAACAATTAAAGCATTTTAAGCCTATCCTGTAACATTGCATATACAGTGGTACCTCGGGTTACAAACACTTCAGGTTACAGACTCCACTAACCCAGAAGTAGTACCTCAGGTTAAGAACTTTACCTCAGGATGAGAACAGAAATCACATGCTGGCAGTGCAGCAGCAGTGGGAGGCCCCATTAGCTAAAGTGGTACCTCAGGTTAAGAACGGTTTCAGGTTAAGAACAGACCTCCGGAACAAATTAAGTTCGTAACCAGAGGTACCACTGTATTGCATATATCCTGTAACATTGCATATATGTATATAGGCACAACTCCCACATATTCCTTCATGGCTGAGGAGTAGCATTGCAGCTGGGATGGCATAGTGTCTGTTATGCAGGTGTTGGACAAAGGAAGGGAGATTCTCTTTAGCAGGAGTTCATACTTGGGTTTTATACTGTGGCAATTAGTCTATGAGATAATGCTTCATTGGCAGTGCAGTTAATAAAGCACCACACAGTTCAATCCACTCGCTCATATTCACAAATCACAGACAGTATTCCATTATGACTGTCAGGTGTACAGAAAGTGCTCAAACACACAGCGAGCCTCACCTCCAAGTTGTCTGTCTCTCAGCTTTCTTTACATCAGAGAATCAACTTCAAATCATCTCTGCACTGCAGACACATGGATTAGACTCCTGTTACAATTCCATCCATCTTCAGATGTCCTTGTGACTGAAGCCCACTAAGGGTGCACTTGGGTCTTCTGAAAGAAATACAAGAAGCTGCCTGCAGCTCTGATCTCTGGAGGCATTTGAATAAAGCTGAGGTAAAAGACAAATGCTAAATTAATTCTTTCCTATATAACTTTTCTAAGAGTGGGAAGATTACATGCAAACACATCAAAACTGTACAGATCATTCTCTCTGAGTCTGGCTGTGTTCCTTCCTTGAGAGCAAGCAGTGGTGCAATTTATTGTTTTAGACTCTGGATATAATAATGATCTTACAGGGTTTAGATAGTAATGTGCAGGGCCAGCTGCAGGTTTTTGGGACAACAGAGTATTATTGGGCTGTCTTTGCACTGTCCATTCCACTGAGCATTTGCCATTTTAATGCCCATTTCCCTAATTTGGAGGCATCCTTCTACAGCTCTTCACTGTCCATCTTTATTTTCATCACCTAATTTTTTTTCATGCCATCAATACACTTGGCCACCCCACTTCTCACCTCTAACTCCAGATAATATATGAACAAGCTAAAAAGCACCAGTCATAATGCAGTTCCATTAAGGGACCTCATTGTGTACATCTCTCCATTCTGAAAATTATCCATTCTCTGCTTCATTTACTTTAACCAGCGAGCCTCTTCTGCTTAACAATTCTCTCTTATAGTTTAGGTAGCAAAGTGATTCCCCCACCTTCTTATATTTGCGCCTTTGTGCTTTTGTCAACCACCCAACAAAAGTAACCCGTATTAGTTCTGCTATGAAGAAATTTCCAGAGAAATCAAAGAATGCCTCATAATCTATGAAGCTTTCTGCATGTTATCAACAACAGCACTTTGCCTTCCAGGATCATTTTTTCTGACGCACTTTTCTAGAATCTCTCATTTTACCTGCAGCAGGAATGTGGATGGAAGAAATGAGAGAGCCAATGAAACAGAGCTGGGTGAATAGTACATCACAACTTTAGCAGCCATACAAAAGGTTGGGTGTATGAAGCATTTACTTTCCATTATCTTGGCCTGACTACTGGTAGAGATCAGTCCAGTCTGACTATCTGGGAACATCTAGAGGTGGTGAACTGATGCATGTGAATCTCTATGCCTTTGGCCATCCTTCTGAGGATGTGGCAGACCCAGCTGAGGTATCCATCTTAGATGCTCATAGTCCCATCACCTTCTAAGGTAACTCCACCTAAGGATTACTGTGGGTTGCTACTTATCCTGTCTAAAGCAAAGCACCAGCTGTGATAGCAAAATGTTGCTGGAGGTCATGAGTGAAAGAGTCTTGTTGCACTCATATCCTGCTTGTGGGCTTCCCATAGGCATCTGGTTGGACAATCTGAGAAAAGGATGCTGATCCAATCCAGCAGGGCTCCCCTTATGTTCTTAAGTAAGTGCTATAATACAGATTTGTCAAAATTCTACTTTTGTCATAATTCTATATTCAAGCTAAGGAATGGCACAATACTTCAAAAGCTGTCGGCCTACATCAGAAGAGGGCCAGGCTAACCTTCACCAAAGAGTAAAGACTAGAAGAAAACAATAAATGTGTCATCTCCCATAGAAAGTACTTCTACAGGAATTGTGGATTTATTTAGCCACACTGAGCCAAATCTCTAAAAAGAATTGTTTAGTAATTTAAAGATAAAGATTATGGATGGCTATCACTTGTATGAATGTTCATAGAAGATAAATTGAATGGGATGTGAGCACAGAGGAGATTTACAGGTGAGATTACTATGCCATTATTCTTTAAATGAATGCTTGGAATATTTTCCAGTCCTCATACAGCTGCCCTTTTCTTTGAATGAAGCTGTGATTCACCACCAGAACTGCTTTGCAAAATACGAATATCCCTAACTTGGGATCTCTTAACTTGGTTAACAGCACTATTGCCATATCGAATGCTGAATCAAAACTGATGTGGCCTTTTCAAGACACAATTTCATGATTATATACTTTTGTTTCAAAACCTCACAATAGTATTGCTGCATTGATGCAAACAATCTACGGTATACCTTTGGTAAAATATCTGGATACTCTGTAAACTGGGCTAAATCAGAATTAATGCTATTAGGCGAAAATTTATTTACTTATACAGTGGTACCTCTGGTTACGTACTTAATTCGTTCCAGATGTCCGTTCTGAACCTGAAACTGTTCTTAACCTGAAGCACCACTTTAGCTAATGGGGCCTCCCGCTGCTGCCGCACCGCCAGAGCACAATTTCTGTTCTCATCCTGAAGCAAAGTTCTTAACCCAAGGTACTATTTCTGGGTTAGCAGAGTTTGTAACCTGAAGCGTATGTAACCCAAGGTACCACTGTACACTAAACTGACGGTGGGGAAACTCTACTCTAAAAATTGGGGGAGTAGTATGGAAGGATTAAATGTATGCAGGTATATTGACTCTGGACCAATTGATATATGAATGAGATTAATTCTATGCATATGCTGTGTTAAAAGATAAATGGCACTTATTGGAGATGGCCCAATGGCAATATTTGCAATTGAAGCATTTGTTAATAACCCTGTTTGGACCAGCAGCTTTTACAGTATCTAAGACACCAGAGATACTAGGACAATTGTTTAAATCCTTTGAGACCCAAAGGTGGTGACTATTTTTTAATAGATAATTGGTATCAATAAATCAATTTGATATGCAGACTCTGAGAAATGAATGGAATAAAGAATTAGAGGTTCCTATATTACCTAGACAGTGCGAGCTTCTGTAACAAAGGTGTTGATGAGTTTTAAATTATGTCTTATAAAACAAAAAATAATATTTTTTGAACTCTGTTAGGTTTGTATAGAAAGGGACTGTCTACAAGATGTAACAAGAATAATACTTCTTTGAAACATATGTTTATGCAATGTCCTACACTTATGAAGTTTTGGAAGAAAGGACTAGATTCTATAAATATGACTTGGTGGGGGAGCTA